ATTATAAAATTCCTCAAAAGAATGATGCATCAAAAGAAGACAGTACCACAGAGCAATCACAAACACAGAAAATAAAATTTTTAAAAAGTTATACTCAAACAAATCACACACATTTGCATGCTACACCGCAGATAGCAAACCCTTTTCTTGCTGAGTAGATTCTTTCTCAGAGAAATAGATGAAGCATAGTCACTGGCCTCCAAATCCTATAATTATCCAATAACATAAATGATATTGACACAATTATAGCAAGCAAAAAATGTGTGTATTTTAAAAGAACTTTCCCAGCCCTTTTCTCTCCATCTCCCAGCTCACCAAATGTGTATAAATAAAACAAAATAAATAAATTTCTAGGGAAAAAGTTAACAATTTCCAAATTGATAGGCCAATGTAAATTACAAATAACAAACTGCACAGAAAGACTAGCAGTAATTTGAGAAAATAGTTACTTAAAATACCTTAGTAAAAAATTACATAAAAGCACCAATTTCATAATTCATAATTGAAAACTTTCTTTAAGCTTGAAAATATAGATTTCTGATCTTAATTTAAATTGTAAAAATGAGCTACATAAAAACACTCAACATCATTTTAGAAAATGTGGTTAAATTATTTATTTAAATGAACATTTTTAAAATTACTAATTTACTGCTTGGAAGATTATTGATTAATACTGTCCAATAACTTTTACATTTCCATGAAACTGAAAATATATTTTAATTCCATAATTAAAAGTTATTATAAAAATTTCTTATAAAATAACAATTGGGGACCATTTTGTTTATAGACTGATCAACTATATACTTTTGAATTCTAGATAATAATTATGTTTATCTTTTTAACTTAAAGCACAATCATAAATATTTTAAAGGAATTGAATGAAACTGATGTTCATCTTAACATATCAAAGTAATGAAAAGAAATTTTTCTATTGTCACTTATAAGTCAACATGGTTCGTACAGCAGGGGTCAGAGTAAGCATAATATGTAGACGCTTATGGTTACAACATGCTCCACAGACCAAGCAAAAACCTTTGCAACTATACCATATACAATTCTGTAATCACTTAAAGTATCAGTTTAACCTCAACAATGTGAAAAATTCTTTTAGTATGCTGATGTATAAAATTTTATGTCAATAAATCTCTATGCTAATTGGTTCAACTGCATCATAATATAAATCAATTGTTTATGTTTCAGACTACATGACATAATTGTTCACTATCTTAAGTTTGTTAATTAATAGATAATTGAAGAAAATGATGTCATTTACAACCTAATTACTATTTATTTTTCCTTTGAATTCTGAATATGAAATTTTGTTGTTAAATAATAGATATAAATGGGTGACCTCAGGTTAATAGTATATCATATTTTCCCATATCCTTAAACAGTTTCAAGAATATTATCTTTGCATGGTATCTATGGATGACTACAATTTGTTAAGCTGCTACCAAATATCATAGGTTCCAGATACTTTTAAAAAATATTTCAATAGACATTCTGGTGCCTATACTAATTGCCTTTAATATATTTTTGGAAGCAAAACAACTTCTGAGGTCTTTGATATATAATGTCAAATTGCCTTCCAGAGAAAGCATGCCAATTTCTAATTTTCTTCAGCAATGTATGGAAGATTCTGATATCCTATATACTTACCAATACTAACTATATGATTTTCTTAATTTAGCCATTTTTTTCATAGTTTTCATTCACATTTACCTTATTATTAAATGGCCCAATATTTTAATACCTTAATTGGATTTTTATAAGTCTTTATAGGTTCTTTATGACCTTTGTCCACTTTTCTATGGGTTTACTTTTGAAATAGTTCAGGATGTAGCAAACATATGATTCAAGAACTGACATTTTACAGAGGAAAAATTATCTTTAAAGCATGTCACAGAATATAAATCGCAGTTTAAACCCTGTATGTGACATAGGAAGTTATCTGCCAAGAATCAAAAAGACAAGAAGCATGTCATAAACATATGGAATTAGTTGCTCTCCATTCTTCCCAGTTCATGGCTAGCACACCTTCCCTTGCCCACTGAGGTTTCTTGTCATTAGCTGCTGTGAAAAGAGAACAGTGAGTTGTGAATCAAGATCCTCTGACAAATAATTGTACAAAAAAAGCACTGCAGCAGAGGGTAGCATATCAGTTGCCACAAAGATAAGGATGCTTTATGCAGGCAAAGACCTTTGAACAGCTAAACACAGAAGCCTCTTCATACACACAGCACAGTGATCTACTTTATCATTCATTCAAACACATTTTTTTTCCATTCATCAGAGCATCTTTTCATTTTATTTGCTGTTCAAAACACTAGGACACAAAGGATGTGCTTCATCTTGTGCACTACTGAAATGAAATCTTGAGGTAAAAAGAAAAAGAAAAAAAAAGCCTTGCCCTAAATTTCCTTTCAAAAGTGAAGCGTGAAAAGACATCAAGCAGAGGACACAGTGTTATTGTTGCAAGAAAGTCAATTCTGCCAAGTAGAGTCCAAAGCCATCAGCAACAGCCCAATCTCTTCCTTACCCTCAATGAATGATAATAATAATTAAAAAAAAAAATACTTAACTATTTAGCCATAGACTTAGGACTAAGAGCTAGTTGCTTCTGTAAGTACTAAGTAATGTACCATTATATGTAACAATATTACTGGCT